TGAGACCAGCCTGGGCAACTTGGCGAGACCTCATCTCTACAATAAATCAAGAAAAATTAGCTGGGTGTGGTGGCACATGCCTGTAGGTCCAGCTACTTGGAAGGCTGAGGTAGAAGGATCACCTGAACCCAGCAGGTTGTGGCTGTGGTGGCTGTAGGTGTACCACTGCACTGCAGCGTGGGTGACAGAGTGAGACTCCAATTCAAAAAATAAAAAAATAAAATGTGTGTACTTTTTTTGGCACCCTCTGTATACGTAAGTGATTACTTTGTACTTCCAAGTTCGTCAGAATTCTCACTGCTGTCCATTTGATGTCTGAATCCTGTGGATCGGGAGGTCAGCATCAGATCCACTAAGCTCATGAAAAGTCATTGAATGGGGCCTTTTCTTATGAAAGTGGAAGTGCTCCCGGGAGACATGGGTGGAGCACTCCTGTGTCTGAGGGCAGAACAGGTAATCTCGACCATCCAAGTCTGGTTGCTGGATTCCTGTAGCAAGTTCAGGCGCCATGTCACTGGGATCTCTGTGGTTTCTGAGTTTTGGACGGTGAGTAGGAAGAAATAGATTGTTAATAACATCAGTCTTATCTCAAAGTATCCAAGGGTATCCAGTGTCTGGGTAGTGAGTGTTGGCTCATGTGAGTCCTGCCAACATGGGACACACAGATATCCCAGTGCACAGGAGGGGCGGCGACTGATGCTGCAGATTTCAGAGGTGTCCTGGGGGAGATGTCCATGGCGCTGGGTCGGATTCTTTGGGGCAGGGATAGGGTGGCTTGTTAGCAAGGCATGGAGAGGAGGCCTGGCTTGGGGTTTGCGTCCTCCAGCATTTAGGGAGGTGACTTGGGACGAGACCCAAGTCAGGAAGTTTCTGGGAAGCCCCAAATGCATCTGTGATTCCTGGACTAATGTGTGTGTTCCTGAGGAAGCAGTGTGGTGTGGAGGCCGGGGGCGGTGCCACTCCCAAGAGAGGGAATGTAGTGATGCTGGGCTAATCTCTGGGTTCTACAGAGTTGTCAAGGAGCCTCTTCCCCCGGGAGTGAGACCAAGGGCCTGCCAGTATCAGATGGGAAGGCTTGGCTAGGATTTGACGCAGCTGCAGCCTGAACCAGAAGGACTGCTTTTTGGAGCTATGGGGTTGTTTTTTGTTTTTGTTTTTTTACCAATTTTTGGTTATTGCTGTGAGTGAAGAGCTCTTCTTGCCTCTTGCATTACAAATTGTCTTGAAAACTTAGATTAAAGTGAGTAATTTTCACGTGGCGTTTGTCTACACTTCAGTTGATTTGGCAAGCACTGAGTTGACTGTAAGTAAAATACGCATGTGACATCACTATTCTTGATGGAACAGGAATAATTTAACAGTTGGAAAAATATTAATATTTAAATTAAAGTTGCTACATTTACTCTCTGTTGGGTAAGAGCAAAGTTTAGGAAGCTGACTACAGGGGCTCAAATTTTGGTCTTGTTATTCCTAGCTGTGTAACCTTGAGCAAGTTATTTAACCTCTCTCAGCCTCATTTCTTTGTGTATCACAATGAGGCTGATAGTAGTACCCATCTCCTAGAGCTTTTGTGAAGCTTAAATGAGATGGTCATGTAAGCGCTTACCTAGTACCTGACACATTGTAACCACTTAGTAAATGTTCGTCCAGAAAGGGCACAGAAGGAGACCAGGTGATCCTTAGAGCTGCTTGACACCCAGAGCTCTCTGGAGCGAAGTGAACTTTGCGTGGCAAAGTGAGGCTGTGGGGTACGGGGAGACACCCAGGTGTCCTGCCCTTGACTATTTGTGAGGCTGTAAAGGCACCCATCTGTCTGTATCTCAGTTTCCTGATGGTGAAATGAGATGTAACGTGACGATGGTGAGGATGATGACAGCTGATAGGTAGCGGGTGCCAGGCACTGTGTGAAGAGCGCTGCATGACTGACTCATTGCACCCTCATGGCCATCTGGTGAGCAGACACTGCTGTCATCCCTGTGTTATAGTTGGGAAACTGAGGCTCAGCAGTTTAGCTACTTGTCCAGGGCCACCTTGCTGGGAAAGTAAAATTGGTCTCATCTGATGGTCTGCAATTCTTCTGTGAGTGTCACGTGTTAGCGGTTTTATACATAAGCCACTTTCTTTTGCATTGAATTTTCTGATCATAATTACATTTTGGCTAATGCTTCATGGGTTGCCTTAAGGAAAACACTTGAGAGTGAGTTTGGGATTTGAGGCTAAATTGTAGTTAATAAGCATTTATGGAGTCTCTAGGTATTCCTGGGGAAGTAAATAGTGGATTCCCCTCCCCCTTATTAAATAAAATCTTATCTGAGGTGCTCTGAACTTGTGCAAAGTAAAGCCATGTGTAAATACTACAGAGAAGAGGCTTTTCTCGGCAGACCTCTCGAACGAGGCCCCCTGCAACCGCAGTTGGGGTGGAAAACTGGTGAGCTTTGCAGCTGGCGTTAGCAGCTGGTACAGGCTTTTCTCAGCCGTGCCCCTGAGCGATGCACGGGTGTTTTGAGACACTGGTGACTTCTGTGTTTGTCAGGGCTGTGGGCAACAAGATTCAGGTTCTGCAGGCCAGAGCTGGGCACATTGGGTTGGCGTTTGCTTTTCCATCTCCAGCTTGCTTTTCTGAAGCCCACTCCAGCTGCAGTGTGGCCTGGGCGGTCCTTCTGTGTCACAGCGTTTGGGAGATTGACCCAAATACAGACTCTGGTCAGGGACTCAGCAAAGGCAGCTGTTGGTTCTGCTGTGCTGCCTTGAGCTGGGCAGGTGTTCCGGTGCTTACCTCTGGGGGAAGGTAATGTAGTGACAGACTTCTTGGGCAGCTGTTGGGGAGTGAACGTGCTGGTTTTAGAAGGCACATGAGTGTCAGCAAGGGCAGTAGTGTGTAGTGTTTCCTCCATGGAAGACTGGGAAATGGTCACTGGCTGGGCTTATTCCAGGAGATCTGTGTTTCCTCCTGCCTGTGGAGGTGATCTGATGATGAAGGTGCTCTCTGCGCTGTTGTGGTACTTAGAGCAAGAGCTGCTGGCTGTTCCAGGGCTTCGACCCCAGAGTGAGAACGTGAGTCAGCAGAATGGAGCTAGAGTTCCATCTGATCATCTGCGTATCTTTTAACCACTGAGATTTATATTTAGTGACTAATGATCTTGTGCTAGAAGTGCCATCTCCCACACAAGTCCCCATAGAAAACTGGCTCTGAGGGCTCTGACTTGGAAATTAATCTCCCCCTCCCATTTTCTCTGCAGGATTTGTTCTTGAGACCCATGGCTTGCTTTCCTGGGCTCTGGGGCCCCTGCACACATGTGAGCAGAGCGCTTAGCCATCGCTGGTTCAGGTAACTTCCCCATGAATTTTAGAAACTGTCTTAAGCCCCCCAGCAGGGCTGGGCATTATGGTGGCTGGAACAGGAGCACAGATTCAGGGAGTGGGCATGGGGTTGAAGGAGCTCACGTATCAGGTCCTGGGGCGCAGGATGGTGAGGAGGCCATGTTGCTGTTGGAGACGGGACAGGGAATGGCATAGGGTGGCTGCTGCCACCTTTCAGTCATTGCAAGACTCTCGTAGTGAACCTGACATCTCTCAACCCTGTCATTCTCCTAGAGCATTAAAATCCTTTATTTATTTATGCTTTTTTTTTTTTGGAGTAGGAGTCTCACTCTGTTGTAGGCTAGAGTACAGTGGCATGCTCATGCCCACTGCAGCCTTGACCTACTGTGCTCCTTCAGGTGATCCTTCCACCTCAGCCTTCCAAGTACCTGGAACCACAGGTGTGCACCACCATGCCCAGCTAATTTTTTGATTTATTGGAGAGACGAGGTCTTGCCAAGTTGCCCAGGCGGGTCTTGAACCCCTGAACTCAGGCAGTCCTATTGCTTCCGCCTCCCAAAGTGCTGGGATTACAGGCATGAACCACTGCGCCTGGCTCTTTTGTTAAAAAATTGAATCTTTTTAATTATTAAAATAATATGTGCTTATTACCCCAAACTGGAGCATGATAGCAATGTAGTGCTCTCCCCTCCGTTCAGATGCTCAGCCAGGAGGAGAACACTGGGCACGCCCACGGCAGACGTGCTGCTGGCTCCACCGTGCCTTCATCCACAGGCGTTTGCTGAGCTCTGTGTCTGGGTTGGTCACACAGAGAGGGATGAGAATGGCTTCCTGCCCTAAGAGAGCTCTCACTGCTGGCCACAGGAGCAAGCTTGAGGACAGATAGCTCTAAGAGGTGACAGGTGTGATTCTAGAGGGCCGTGCAGTGCTTCAGAAGGCCTGAGACAGGAGCTGCTGAGGGAGGAGGAGCAGGAGGAGGAAGATGGGAGGGGAGTGGAGGCGGCTTTCCCAGAAGGGAGTGGGGCAGATCCCATCCAGGCCTCCAGGGAGGATTGCAAGACGGGGCATGTGTGGAGGACTCCGGTGGTTCCTGGCCACCAGTACGTAGTGTGGGTGGTGAGTGTGTGGCCTCAGGAGACAGGTAAATTGGGGTGAGGTTGTTACAGTGTAAACAGAGGGAACCATGGACAATCTAAGCTGGGGAGTGACATTAGTTATTTATTCTAAAGAGCATTCTTTTTCACAGAGTGAGGTGCAGTGGGAACCCATCAGGCCACAGCCTCTGTGTAGGACAGTGAGCTAAGTGAAGGAGAGGTTCGTGCGAGGGAGAGACAGGACACAGGTGCCCAGGAGGAGGTTGCAACAGTGCTCGATGGTGGTGGATGTTGGTGAAGAGAGCTTAGGGCTCGGGTTCTGGGGTTTGTGGAGAAGCTGTTATTGAGATAGGAGGTGCAGCAGCAGGAGAAGCCTTGTGGGGAGGCAGTGAGGTTGGTTTGAGACCTACTGAGTTTGCAGTGTCTGTAAGGCATGTTGTAGGGAGTTCCAGAGAGGAGAAATACGTAAGACTACAATATAGGAGAGAGGCAGGGCTGGAGATAGAACTTACCAACTGGCAGAAGTGGGAATGGCCAGAATTGCCCAAAGTAGGCCCTTTCGGAATTCCCCAGAGTCTTTTGGAAACTTAAGGCTGCTGTGAAGTTCATTGTAACAGAGAGGTTGGGTTGTCTTTAAAACCATCCAAACTGAGACCGTCACCCGAGAGCAGAAGCCCTCCCCTGTAAGGAAACAGTCTTGGGTACAGGCAGGTCTTCACAGAATCCTGAACTTCTGTGGAGGTTCCTGGCAGTGCTCTGCTCAGTGTGCATGTGTTGCTGGCACAGACTTTCCCCTGACCTTGCTTCTCAGGAGCCTGTGCACCCTGACCAGGAGAGAGATCTCAGACTTATTTTTCTCCCACCAGCTCCACTGGGAACCTGAGTGCGATTCAGAAGATGACGCGGGTGCGAGTGGTGGACAACAGTGCCCTGGGAAACACCCCGTACCACCGCCCTCCTCGGTGCATCCACGTCTACAAGAAGAACGGAGTGGGCAAGGTGGGCGACCGCATACTGCTGGCCATCAAGGGACAGAAGAAAAAGGCTCTCATCGTGGGCCATCGCATGCCTGGCCCCCGCATGACCCCCAGGTTCGACTCCAACAATGTGGTCCTCATTGAGGACAACGGGAACCCTGTGGGGACCCGAATCAAGACGCCCATCCCCACCAGCCTGCGCCAGAAGGAAGGCGAGTACTCCAAGGTGCTGGCCATTGCTCAGAACTTTGTGTGAGCAGTGCCCAGGCTGAGAGGGACTCTGGCAGCCACGGGATTGCTCCCTTCATACTGGGTCACTGTGTCCTGCAAGAGAATAAACATTATTGTGTATGTTTTCTTCCTGAGCTTTCTGGGATGTGATCATGAGGTAAATAACACTGGAGCAGTTAAAAGGGGGCCAACCCAAGTCTGTCGTCATGAGATGGTGCCAGGTTCTGGGCCTTTGCTTTTCTGGTTTGGACCCTATAACATGAGTTCTTGCAGGACTCTGAGTAAACTAAATGCCAATTTATAAATGTACCATGGAGTCTGCCATTTTCTTTTCCTTCTCTTTTTTTTTTTTTTGAGTTGGAGTCTCACTCTGTTGCCCAGGCTAGAGTACAGTGGCATGTTCACAACCACCACAGCCTTGACCTGCTGAGCTTAGGTGATCCTTCCATCTCAGTCTTCCAAATAGCTGGAACTACAGGCGTGCGCTACCATGCCTGGCTTATTTTTTTATTTATTGTAGAGACGAGGTCTCACCAAGCTGCCCGGCTGGTCTTTGAACGCCTGCGCTCAGGCAGTCTTCTCGCCTCGGCCTCCCAAAGTGCTGGGATTACAGGCTGAGCCACCGAGCCCGGCCTTCTCTTTTCTTGAGTCAAGGTTTCACTCTGTCCCTCAGGCTAGAGTACAGTGGCATGTTCATGGCTCACCGCAGTCTCCAACTCCTGTGCTTAAACACTCCTCCCCCCTCAGCCTCCTAAAGTGCTAGGATTACAGTCCTGAGCCACTGCACCCAGTTGAGTCTGCCACTTCCTAACCAAAAGATTTTTTTTTTCATCTAAAATATCTTTTTCCTGTGTAGAGAGCTTGAGGCTTTAAATAATTGTAAAGTTTACTGGGTAAGCATGGAGTAATCTAGTGGAACATTTCCTTTAGGTTGCAATAAAGCCCAGGCAGTAATTCTTTCCTTGCTCTGGAGTTTTACCAGGACACTCCTCTGTGCCCAGTAGCAGAGCTTCCTCCCTGGACTGCTGGAGAAGTGGACACACCTGTGTATTTTGCTTATGACCTAATCTTAGGCCTGTGCAAATGATTCAGTGACAGGTTCTCTTCCATAAATTTGTTGGTCTGCTGGGGAAGATTTGGAGGCTCCCTTAGTTTATCTAGTTAGAAGTTCATCTGCTCATTTATACATTCACTTGTTTATTCATTTAGAATATTGTAGGTACTTACTCATTCAATATCTCAGTGGCCTCCGAAAGTCAGAGTAGTGTAGGGGTTAACAACACAGGCTCTGTAGCCAGGCTACCTGGGTTTGAATCCTGATTCTGCCACTTGCTACTTAATGATGGGGGGCAAATTATTTTACTTTTTTGTGGCTCAGTTTCCTTACCTGTAAAAGGGGGATATAATAATGGCATCTACCTGATAGGGTTGGTGTGAGAATTGAATGAGCTAGTACCTATAAATGCTTAGAATGGTACCTGGAGATAGTAAGCACTCAAACGGCATGGTGGTGCATGCCTACAGTCCCAGCTACTCAGGAGGCTAAGGCAGGAGGAAAGTGAACTCGTTCTTCTCAGCCTGGCCCCGCCTGCTCAGGAGTTGAGTCCAGCCTTTTAGCAACATAACATGACTCCATCTCAAAAACAAAACAAAACAAACACTCAGTAGGTTATTAGCTATTTCCTATTATGACTCTGCATGGGCCAGCACTGAAAGAAAGTTGTGGCCCTTGCCTTCCTGGAGCTTACAGTGTCCTAGGGGAAAACTGATATAATCAAATTTCCAATTCCTCAAACAAATGCAAAACCCCAAGTGTAGCTAGGGCCTGTGATAAAGGTGTCAGAGTTTTTCAGTGGAATTAGAGGCAGCTTCCCTGAGAAAGGGTTGCATCAGCTGCAGTATGAGTGCAGCTCAGACTTGAGAGGAGGCAAACAGTGGTTACTTGGGGGGTGGGGAGGGTGTCGACTGGGAGTGGACAGGAGGGAAGCTTCAGGGTGTTGGGAACATTCTAAATCCAGATCTGCGTGGGAGTTATGTGTGTAGGCATCTGTAAATAATTATTGATCAAATTTATAACTTAGTAAAAATAAGTGGATGGGCATCAGATAGGTGAGAGAAGAGAGGAAATGCCAGAGGCAGAGGGCAGGGTACATGACAAAACCCGTGGCAGGAGGGAACAGGATGCTTGCCAAGGCCTGAGAAAGTATGGCTGGAGCAGGGTGAGCAGACGGGATCACAGAGTGGGGGTGAGGCCCAGACTGGAGGGGGCCTGGTGAGCCATGGGAAGGGTTTTCTCAGTGAGGGCATCGGGTCTGTGGGTGGGTGTTTAGCAAGTGGGATAAGGTGGGAAGGGAGACACAGATTTGCTCTGCAGAGGGGGGCTTGCAGAAGACTGCAAGAGGATGATGTGGACTGTGCGCAGGCAGTGGGTGCCATCAGGAGGCCCAGTGGACTTGGTGATGGGTTAACATGGTGGGGAAAGGCCAAGTGTGGGTCCAAGGTCTCTGACCTCCACACCTGGTGTGTGCAGACTGGGCCAGGGTGCTGTAGCACAGCCCGAGGTGGGAAGAAGAACAGCCCTGGGCAAGCCGTGTGGAGGGGCCTTGGGATACCAGGAGATGTCAGGTAGGCAGCTGGGTATAGACTCTCAAACAGGAATAACACCTCATGTGGAAGCATTCGTGTATGTGTCCTTGGCTTTTGTAGGCATCGGTCCCATTTTCAGATGAGAACAAGGAGTATCAGGGAACCGTGATTTCTCAGGGTCCCGCAATAGGCAAGTGGTGAAGCTGGTCTCAAAGCTGATCCTGTGACTTCCAGTTCAGGGTCTTCCCACAGCATTTCCGGGTCTTTCTTTTGCAGTTGACGCGTTCACTCATCCTGACCTGATTCTTAATAGCTCGATCCTGGAGGCTGATGTTCTGGTTTTCCTGAGGACTATAGGCCCATCTTGGAGCCTGTCACCTCCAAGCCTTGATTGCAGGAGGCAGAGGCTCAGTTTAGCCTCCAGTGGAAGCGCAGACAGCCCCCTTGCCTCCTCTGACTAAACCTGAGTCGAGGTACTCCGGCATGTTAGAAGCTAATGTCCCTCTCCATCTGGCCTCCGAAGGGCAGAGGGAGAGCCCGCGGCTGACAGGCCCTGCTGCAGTGGTTGGATGTGACCGAGGAGGAGGCATCACATCAGACCTGGGGCCTGCCTTGCCAGTGGCAAGTCTCTCCAGCTGTGGCAGCTGGCATGCAGCAGGCTCTTAATTCCCCTTCTTTCAGTCCCACTCCCCAGAGGCCATGGCAGGAAGAGGCCCCTGGCGAGAGGAAGGGGAATGTGGACTCATCATCTCAGCCTGGCATCACCTGCACAGGGGCTAGACCTTTGCCCTGACCGGGACAGCCTGACCTAAGCTGCCCTCCAGCTTCTCAGGTCTCTTGCTTTCTGGGGTCAGGCTCTCTTCTCCAGTGCCCTGAGTCAGCAGGAAGCGCTTTCTTCCTTTCACGTGCTCACGGGATGCTGGCTGCTCCTCCTCATCCCCTCTCCCGCCTCCCTCCTAAGGTTCACCAGAGTCATTCAAGTGACTCCTCTGTCCTCGCTGTCCCCTCCACTGGTCTCTGTGGACTTTAGCCCTCCTCCTGAGGTGTTCTGTGCTGACCGCGGGAAGGCTGTGGTTTCAACAAAGCTGGGTGGCCGGAGCCAGTGACGCAGGGCCTCGCGGACAACCCAGAATAGCCTGGGCTTTGCTGCTTCTCCAGCGCCCTATCACTTTGCAGGCTGGGATCTAATTTGCCATCCACCCCGCCCCCCCCAACCCCAGTCTTTCAGCCAGTACTGCTTGCTTTACCCATGAAATATTTATAATCACAGATCATGTTTCCCTATGAATATACACTTGCTTTTGTTTTCCCCTTCTGTGCCCTTAAGAAGTTGCCCTGACAGGTGAGAGGGCTGCCTCTCTCTGGGTTCATGGGCTTCATCAAGCTCTCTCTGCCCAAGTACCTGGCTTCCCCTGAGGTTTGACTCCCTCTGCTAGACCACCATGGAGGAAATGCGGGGGAAACAGCTCTAGGTTGGTAGCTGTGGTTGGGAGGCCTGGGTTCCAGCTGGAACCCTGCTGCTGGCAAGTCACAGCCCCTGGGGAGTGCACCGGGCCTGGTGCTCAGGAGACTTTGCCGGTGAGCGTGACTCCCCAAGGACCTGCCACCTTGAAGAATGTGCCCTGGGCTGTCGACGGGGCCCCAGCCATCTTGCTTCCCTTGACACTCCTGAAGTTAGCCACCTCTGGCGACGGTGTCCAGGCCCCTTCCTGTGTGGGAAGTGACTCCGAAAGCAGGGAGATGAGGAGCTTGCTGCACCAGCTGCTGTCCCTGGAGATCTACCCACCGCCATGTCCCCCTTGAAGCTCCCAAACCCAGCCTTGATTCCGGAGGGTAGCGGTCACTGTTAGGCAGAGTCCCCCTGAGATACTTCCCCAACTCCAAGTGAGGAGAGAGCCAGGGGCTGGGTCCAGGCAGGCCCTCCACGCTGGTGGGCCACAGCCTGCCGCCCTCACCTCCCTGCATGGCTGTCCCATCCCTGCTTGAGCCTCCCTTGCCTCTTGGCCTCTTCCCATGTTTGTCCTCAGTGGCTGACAACTTTTGCTTTTGACAAAAGATTGGATGATGTTGAAATCAAATGCTTACCTGAAACTCAAATCTGTATCAGCAGCTGCATTTCTTTCCTTCCTCTCATTTTGTAAGTGAATCTTTAAAACACAGTTGTGCAACTTGTCTTATTTGTTCCCTGGAGGACTGGAAGATGGTGGTGGATCACAATTTAGTTCTCCTTGGCATTCTGGTCCCTTTCTTGTGGAATTTGCTAAGTATTAGTAATTTCCCAAATTACTTGAGTTTTCTGAAAGTGGTGATGAGTTTGTTTCTCAACTTTCACCATTGAGCTGGTAGTTCCCAACCAGATTTGACCACAGCAATAACCTATTGTCATTTGCTTGTTATTGTGACAGGCTGTGTCATGAGACACACCACAGGCTTTTTTTTTTTTTTTTTAAAGTCAGGGTCTCACCCAGGCTGGAGTGCAGTGGCACGATCATGGCTCACTGCAGCCTCAGACTCCTGGGCTCAGGCAATTCTTTTGTCTCAGCCTTCCA